ACACACACACACACACACACACACACACACACACACACACACATACACACACACACACACACACACACTCTCACATGTCACATTATATATATATATACACACTCACACAGGCTCTCATATATACACACACACACATTCCCATATACACATTCTCACAGACACACACTCACACATACACACACACACACATTCTCACACTCACACATACACACACACACGCACATGAAAACACATAAATCATGCTAGAGAGTAGCTATCAATAGCTGACAGATACCCCAAATGCAAATGAACTGTTTTTTGCCTTATATCGCATCCTAATTACATGTACTATGTATTGTATTGGATTGTTTGTCTGCACATTGACTGCTCTCACGTCGTCCTACAACAGCCAGTTCCACGTATCAAGGTTTTAGCGAAGTTTTCAGGAGGAACCAAAAACTGATTACTGTAGGTATGTCATGTGAATGATCAACACACGAGAACCGATCAAGCCCTTAAAGCGTATCATATGATACACGATTTAGGAATTCTAGGCTTTCTTGTCGGTTCCGTAGAAATTCTTGTAGCGTCATCCAAGTTGTAACAATATTGAAATCCATTCCGCACATCTCAAGATGAGCTGATTTGGAAGCAAACAGCTATGATAAGTGAAACAGTTATTTGCTTTTTATGGCAATGTTAAGGCGTGGAACTCAATGAAACTAAATACAGAAATAAAGCCCTTGATACACGCTTTCCATTGGTGGAAAAAAATTTGGGGCCAAAATCATGATACACGAATGTGGCTGTTAGTGTTATAGGACGAAATGTTTCTGTTCTGCTCTGTGCTCTCTTGTGTGGAACGGAAGGATAGACGGTTGTTGCAGAAAATACCGTCAGCTCACCTGTCAAGTCTCCCGTGATTATTCCTGATTTGATCTCCGTTGTTTTGAAAGGATGGGTTTCCCTCCCTTTTTGGAGGGCTCAGTTTTAGCGAAGGATCGTCTGGGAAATCAGAAGTCAATAATCAGTGACAAAGAAATGGGCGCTGATTATGTCAGTAAGTAGAAGATTGTTATTTCAAGGGTTTTAGTTTATATGTTTTTAGTTTGTATGTTTTTGGTTTATATGTTTTTAGTTTATATGTTTTTGGTTTATATGTTTTTAGTTTATATGTTTTTGGTTTATATGTTTTTAGTTTATATGTTTTTGGTTTATATGTTTTTAGTTTATATGTTTTTAGTTTATATGTTTTTGGTTTATGTTTTTAGTTTATATGCTTTTGGTTTATATGTTTTTAGTTTATATGTTTTTAGTTTATATGTTTTTAGTTTATATGTTTTTAGTTTATATGTTTTTAGTTTGCATTTGTAAGTGTTGCCGCGTCTGCTTATCGCGACCTCGGTGCTTTCTTGTCCTATCTCCATTTTTGTAACTATGAAAATGTGACATCTTCTTAAGGCTCACTCTTTGTTATGAACTGTTTTCACTGTTATTAAAAATGGAGATAGGACAAGAAAGCGCTGAGGTCGCGTTCTGCTGCAGTTTGAAGATACTCAGAAGTGGTTCTGTCCTGCCAAAGTGTTTGTGTTCTGTGGTTGTGCTTGATAGTGCTTGGCAGGACTTCGCTTCTTTGACCAGGGTGGGTGCTTTGGTGTGGCTTGCTCTTTCTATCCTATCAACTATCTATCGTCTTTATCTCCCCTCCTTTTTTCTGTTTGTTACTCTCTTGTAACACCTCTAATCTCTGGCACTAATATGACCTCATTGTGTTGCAAGTGCCGTAAAACTGACTAGCACCTGAACTCCCAACAAACACTGCAAAGCAGCATCATCATAAATCATAGCTGTTGGTTTTCCTGTTGTGTTTTGCAGTCCTCAGTATTGACTATGCAAAACAACCTTTTCTTTTTTAATGGGTGATTAGCCTAGGGTAGGGATAAAACCTTCAGGCCGTTACATGTTTTGCTCGTGCTCAACTTTTAAAAAATCCTATATATAATATGCAGTATTTTTTATTTAGGAGATTTGTGAGAGTAAAATCTTCTTGTTGTAAGAATTTCCTCGGAATAGACAAAAACCGCCCAATTTGTTTCCTTCAATTCCTGTGGAGTGTTTAGAACGAGGCGTGTTTGGAACATACGTCAAATTATTGCCTCTGGAACTTCATGTAAGTTAAGGTGAATACCACTGTCTTTGGAAGGGGATTGGAAATTATACTTTCGTTTCTACTTCTTCAATTGTTCTTCTTTTTTTGTATGTTTAGAATTATATATATTTGGTTTCAGAAGCAGACTTGGAAGTGTTCTTTATTTAAAAGAAAAAAAACCCCAAACTTCTACTTAGTTCAGTGAATGAAACATTGTTGTGTGTAGTGTTTATGTGACATGCTTCGTGAACATTGTTGTGTGTAGTGTTTATGTGACATGCTTCGTGAACATTGTTGTGTGTAGTGTTTATGTGACATGCTTCGTGTTTTAACCCAGAACTGAAGCATCACGGTATTTAAATTATTGCTTGTAATATTACATTAATTAACT